ATATATTCTTGATCAGCATCACAAGACGAGTCGATTTAGCCATGTCCGTCTGTCCGTCCGTCTGTCTGTTTCTACGCAAACTAGTCTCTCAGTTTTTGAGCTATCGGGACGACACTTTCGCAAAAGTCTTCTTTCTATTGCAGGTAGTATATATGTCGGAACCGACCGGATCGGACAACTATATCTTATAGCTCCCATAGGAAGGATCGGAAAAAAAGCTTCGGTGTTTTTTTTAAATATTACCTTCTACTTTTGGGGATGTTATTTTTTAAATATTTCTGAATTTCGAATAAATTATTTTAAAAATCGGACTACTATATCATATAGCTGCCATAGGAACAATCGGAAAATTAATGGAAATGTAATAGGAAATAAATTCTAGCTTCTTTGGTTTTTATTGTATTATCTTCTTCTCTAGGATATGACTCTTTTTAAATATTTCCGAATTTCAATTTTAATTTGATCAAAATCGGACGACTATAATATATAGCTGCTATAGGAATGATCGGAAAATTAATGAGAAATATTAGAAAATTGAACATTTTTGCGATTTCTTAATTAATAGGAATGATCTGCAAGGGTATATAAGCTTAGGCTGGCCGAATCTAGCTTCCTTTCTTGTTATCATTGAGTTTTTTCGGAAAAGTTAAGTTTTTACCACGTACAAATTTCCCGTTAGCTTATTTATAAAGCAACCAAAGAAATATAAAAAAATCCCTATTGCATTTTAGGAAATAAATATATATTTATTTATTCTATACAATTTATTTGTACAGTTTTGCAGTTATAAACTAAACATTAAAATTAAGTTAGGTATGAAATTCTTTGATTTTTTTAATGTGGAAACTCAGAATCGTAGCTGCAAAATGTTATTATCTAAAATATTTGCCTTAGCGATCTAATAAATTACAGAAAAGTAGAGTGTCTGAAAGTCACTGAATGTTGGGTCAGAGCTGCCTTCGAAATTTGCTCAACCACAAACCCAAGCTCAACGAAAGCGAAATGAGGTGCGATTATATATAGCCAATATCTTTTCCCTGTAGTTCTCAAGGGGGCCGGTGGCACTTTCGGGGTAGAAAAGGGATCGACCACCCAGTGGTCCCTTAAGGGTCAATAGGTGGCGTGTGTATTTTTTACAAGAGCAAAAGAGTTATCGGAGAGGAAACACTTCTATGTGAACACTTCTATATGAGTTAAAAAAATTGTAAAATGAAATTTTTGACAACTATATAATGATTTTAATAACGAATACAACTTTATTTTGTTTATATAAAAAACAAATTTAAAAAAAGTTAAAATAATAAAATAAAAACTTAATAATGAGATAAAATAAAATTATAAATGATAGAATTTTATTTCTTTTTATATTATTTATATTTAATAATGAGCAATTTAGCTGCAGCAATATTTTTAACAATAGCGGTGGTTCAGTAGCAAAACGTTTTCTTTCCTTCCATAACAAGCGGATTTTATTGGTGCTTAGATATATAAAATAAATATATAAGTACCTAATTTTATATACATAGAACTAAACAAAAATAATATTAGCGAATGTTTTTATTGCCATCGATTATACGATATCGGTAGTCGCAATATTAATCGTAACGGATTGCCATAACTACCCAACCCCGCTACCATCACTAACCCAACGTTTGCGCCAAATTTTGTAAACATTGTATTTAATTTGTCTTATTGTACATTTAAAGTGTTATATTTTGTTGTGATCTGAAGTGTCGTCAACAGGTGCGTAACACCATGAGTTGTGCAAGTGAAATACCTAATAATGTGTGATATTTAGCCATGAACAGCAACAGGCACATTCGTCGATTTGTTAAAGAGGAGAAGGAGAAATAGTGGTGCAAAGGACTCCTACGTAAGTCTTTTTTCTTTGATATAAATATTTTAGTGAAATTTTCTTCCTTTTTAGATTAAAGCCATGAGATCGTTGTTGCTGCCAGAAGGGGGTTTAAAAAACTTGCGGAGGGTTCTCACGGATGAGTTTGTTGTGGGATTTAATGCACTTAGTTTCTTGATTCAATTTCAATCTATTTACTTAGAATGCCATCTGTCTTTAATCCTATTTCTTTCTGTCTTTTTCTGCTTTTCACTTTTAAAACATGGTTTGATGTAAAGAGGCTTGTATAACAAAATCTAAAAATATATATTTAAACCCATGCAGAGGGAATTATAATTTAGTCCAGAAGTTTGTTACGCAGTAAAGGAGACCTTTTCAAACCTATAAAGTAAATCCATTTAACCATGTCCGTCTGTCTGTCGGTTCAAGTTTCAAAAGCGAGAAATAAGTCTACATTGAACTGTTGGTTATTCTTATTTTATATTTATGCTTTTCTAGTCACAATTTTATTCCTGAAAGCTGCAAGGGTATTAAAACTTTGGCTTGCCGAAGTTAGTTTCTGTTCTCATTTTATTTTAAAACACTAAAATCTTATTTTTTTTAGATATTGTTTCAGAATCTGGTAATGCAGAAATATTGATTCCCAAGGCAATTCAATTGCAAAAGAAACGATTTTTTAAAAATAAATTCAAATCAAATAATAACAACAATGAGGAACTCAACAAAAACGTGTCAGCAGAGGAATTTGTTCAATAAATATAAATTAAATAAATAGAAAAATTGTCTACTTATAATACAATAAATTAATTTAACAAAAAGTATTTTTTCTTGGGAAGTTTCATAGCATCCAGCTTTTTTGGTATTGAAAACACCAACCCCATTTCATACCCCTTTTGGCCACAAAAGGGACCGATAGGTGGTCCCATTTAATACCCCTTTTCGCCACAAAAGGGACCGATAGGTGGTCCGATAGGTGGCCCCTTTTGTGGCGAAAAGGGGTATAATATGGGACCACCTATCGGTCCCTTTTGTGGCGAAAGGTAATGCAGAACTTCGCCATATGACCACCGCCTAGGACATGCCGTGGTAAAAGTGGATAGAAATTTACATTGCGGGTGGTATGAACGGGAGTTAGTCCTAAGCCCCCGGTGTATGGCGATTTCGCTAGTTCGGGACCAGTCCCGGCGAACTACAGGGATTGTTTATATAGATAAAGTCCGGAGGTATGTATGTGTATGTGACTGGGCAGATTTCATTCATAAGTTCAGTGCTCAGAGCCCACACCCTCGCAATGGGTCTTGACTAAGCCGAGCAAATAGCACATGCCACACACTCTCTCTCAGGGTGACAAACAACAGTCGAGACTTGCCCAACTTATTGTAATTCTTGGATTTATCTGTCCCTCTATTGATGACGTAGCTGGGGAATGGGAACTGCGAATGGGAACTGGGTGAAGCGGGGGATACCAACCATGACCTCTCAGTTTCTCAGTCAGAAGGCCCAGCAGCAGCAGCAGCTGATTATGTTCATTGATAGCGCCCCCGGATAAGATATTGTCCGTATCGTTCGGCCGTAGTATCTTAACTTTTTTGCGGTACATATGGCACATGCATGGGGGCATACACACCTATCGTACTACTATATACACACTCAAAGTCGGGTTTATCTGCATTCGGCTAGCCGATTGTCAAAGTGACGTTTGCACCACATTATCTGCCAGACTTCCCCATATAGGGAAGGGAATTCTTTGAACTTTGGCCAAAGACGTCAAAAACTTGGCATATCGTCGTTTGGAGTCAGAACAATAAGTTTTCCTGGGAACTCGTCCCGCCTCTTCCGTTCCTTTCACATAAATAGTTAAACTTTGCACCCACTAAGCGGTTGATTTTTCATTTTTATGACTTGTTAACTCATCCGAATGAATCACGCTGGTATCCATAAAATGTATCAATCATTTCTGGCAAGTCAGCCAAAAGTTCTGCGTAAAATGAATCAATTATTATTTTAACGGGGAGTAAATATATATTATATATATATTTTATTTTTTTAACAATTTTGAGGAAGCAACCCATTTAAAATCATATGAAATTTTAGTTATAAAAGAAATGTTTAGTGACATACCTAAAAAAAATTGCATTAAAAAAATATATGTACATTTTGTACATATAAAAAAAATTACTAAACATTTTCGTTACAATTAAAATTATTTTTAAATTCAATTAAAACCATATTTCGACATATATCCCTTAGTAAATTGAGGCCACTTGGTAAAATCAACTTGATGGCTGGCCATCCTTGAATATGGCTTTGGATATGGATTTCCCCAGCCGTGTGTGTGTATTGAACAATGCTTACACATAGGTGCACACACAATATATTTCATATTTATGGCTATGGTAAAGGTGAAACCCACCTGAAAGCCACCTCCGAGCTATATGGCACTTGTCAAGAGCGAACTGGCGGCAAATTCCGGCCGGGCCGCCTCGTGAATCAGGTGACAGTGACGATCGAATGTGTTGACACAAAGCTCGGGGATAGTTTAGGGGGTTGGGGTTGAGGTGGAAGTGGCAGTGGAAATGGAAGTGCCACCCCCAACGGAATGAGGTCATAAACCCAGGCCGACTGACGTGCGGCGGGGAAAGCAAAGCCAAGCGATTTTATGGCCAGCTTTAATTTCCGCCAAAAACAAAAACAAAACCGAACTGAACCAAAAAAAAAAACCCAAATACACAACAAATTGAAAACGAAACCAAGAAACCGCGCTGAGTTTAGGGTTCTGTGAGCAAATACTTCTTCTGCCTGGAAATGAAATGGAATAAAAGTGAAAAATATGTTCGACAATGTTGACACTGAGCGGTTTTGAAGTCCGTCTCTGGTTTTCAGTTTTTCTGCCTCGGTTTCTGGTACTTTATGGCTCTGTATATTGTAGGCGACAAATTGAGCTGTGAGCTGTGAGCTGCGAGTCGCGAGAGCGGGGCGGCCCCTTTGAAGACCGACTCAGTCTTGCCTTTTCTTGTTGACTTTTGTGGCGGAAATCGAGGCGGCCAGTTCGCACTGTTTGTGGCCGGAACTGGAGCCACACTTTTGAGGCAAGCCGAGCCGAAACGAAACGTAGCATTCAACACTTGTCGCTTGCTCATTGCAGATGGAACAGCAGACAACGCAGCAGCAGCAGCAGCAACAGCAACAATTGCAACAGCAGCAGCAGCAACAGCAGCAGGCTCTGACCAAGCAGCAGCTCCAATTGCTGGACAAGATCAAGCTCGAGTCCAGCAACGGTGCCGAGCAACTGGCCCAGCAGGCGGCCAGCAATCTGGAGGAGCAACAGGAGCAGCAGCAGCAGCAACCTGCAACATCAGTGGGCGTGGTGGTGCAGACCAGCCAAGCGGGAGTTAGCGAGCCGGAGGAGCAGTACGTGGTGGTGCCGCGCATCCAGCGACGCATCCTCACCACAGCGGGAACACTGTGAGTATATAAAAAACTATAAGAGATTTTATCTTGATTAAACGAAAGAAAAAATATTTTAATTAAAGATCAAATGATTTCTTTTTAAATATAAAACCCAGTTTAATATGTGAATATCCAATAACGAAAAAGTGAAAAACATTGACTTGTGCCTTAAAATGTACTTTTATAGTTATGTGATAAAAAATTAAAATTTGGTAAGATAATACTGTTCTCAAGATATTTCCTCTTGAGTATCAAAGCCTAATTAAATTTGTGTATAGCCAATGGAGACAATATAAAAAAAATGAAATGAAAATTTGGACAAATCGAGGCCCACAGTTAAAAGATCGGCTGTTTCGAGCAGCTTACAACCTAAACTAAAATTTTCTTTAGAATGCTAATCAATCGGAAATTCAATTACGAGCTTAACGACATATAACACTTCTTATTTGGACCTTATTTTGCAGCCTGACGGCTTATAAACTGACTGAAAAATAGAGATTTTTACATTTTATAAATATTTTCTGTTGTTGCTTTAAAATTTTTAATTTATTGCAATCCATGCCCTTTCATTGAACTAAATGAAAACTTAAAAGTTACATTGAAATTTTTCTGATTTTAAATTTAAAATCCTTTAGCCAAAAGAAGAATATTTCAATAGTTCTTTAAATTAAATAAATATTTTTAGATGTCCAATACATAAAATACATTTAATATTTTTCTACATTTTTTAAAAATATAAAATACATTTATTTAACATTTAAGTGAGTTAAACGAGGCTCGCGAGGGAGAGCCCAGCACTAACGCCAGCAACGCCAGCTCGGGATCCGCTCCGGATAGCCACATTGAGTACCAGCGCAGTGCGCACCACTCGCCGGGAGCCCCGGCCACCCACTACGTGCAGATGGCGCCACGCAACGCGGAGGTGCCGGAGCAGGTGGGAACCGCAGCCGGAGCACCACCTGGCCCCATATTCGCCTATTCCTCCGGCCAGATCATCTGCGCCGGCGACGATGTGGCGGCCATTAAAATAGAGACCATCGAGAAGGGTGAGCCATCGGCTGAGTCGCAACAGCAGCAGCAACTGCAGCAACACCAGCAGCAGCAACAGCAATGTCCCACGCCCAACGGCGGCAGCTATGGTGAGACCATAGTGATCAGCAGCGAGGCGGAGGCACTGCAGCACCACCACCAGCAGCAGCAGCAGCAGCAACACCAGCAGCAGCAACAGCAACACCACCAACATCAGGCGGCAGCTGCAGCAGCGGCGGCGGCCCAAGCGGTCCACATAGCCACCAGTTCGCATGGCGGCACCGTTCGCTTCGTGACCGACGATGGACGCTTCACCACCGCCGGCCCGGAGACCTCCACCTCGAATCTTTACTACGACGCCCCCGTGGTGGACGGCAGTGTGCATGCCAACGAGTCGAAGACCTACGCCGATCTGGGCAACGCCTACGCCTCCTTCCCGCCCAGTTCGAGCTTCAGCAGCAACAGCTATGCGGCCACCCTGCAGCAGGGCAACACCATCTACAGTGTCCCCGGAACCGGTCAGTTCCTGGCCAAGTCGGAGTCGGGATTGAATCAGCTGCGCCAGGCTGGACCGGCCACCTTCCAGACGATATCCTTCAACGACGGCGGCAACGCCATCGAGGCTCTGTGGACATCGCCCGCTCCGCCGGAGTACCAGAATGTGCCCTTCGTAAGTTTTGAAGAAATATATCTATTATTCTGTGGGAAAAACCATCCCAAATCTCAAAAAATAATTTCGCAATCAAAGGAACAAATTTAATAACATTTACTTGAGTACCCACTAATCACTAATTTATTAAGAATTTAATCATTTAATAACTAAAAATTCTGTTATCATAATAGATAGATAGATAGATTTAAATAAGGGGTTGGAAAAATTAATCTTCAGTCAATAAAAAAAGCTTTTGCAATTTTTGAATCTGTACTTGGGACAATCACTTAATTATTTAAAAATAATAACATACATTTCTAAAATCAAGCTATAATAAAATCAAGAAAATACTAGTTATCAAAAAGACATTTAACAGATTTGGTTATACCTATTTCTTTTTTAAAAATATACTTATTAAAATCGTATTTTTAAGTAAATAATTTCAAATTCAAGACATGCAACAAAGGCATTTTGGTCTTGAATTTAGATTAATTTTAAGATAATTTATTGATCTCCAACTAACTTAAACTCTCCATGCTTTATACAGGGCAACTTCCATCCGCAGGTGATTGATGAGTATGGAACGGGCAACATGACCGCCACCCACTGGTCGCCCGCCGGCAGCATCGGTCAGTACGATGGCAGTCTGGTGACCGCCTCGTCCACCTCGTCCCCGAACCACGAACTGAAGTGCGAGAACTGCCACTCGCCGTTCATGCGCAAGGGCAGCGAGTACTTCTGCCCCAACTGCCCGCCCTTCATGCGGATGGCGCCGCGGATGCCGCAGCGGCAGGCGAAGCCCAAGGCCGCCGCCGCCCCCAACAATCGGCGCAACGGGGTGACCTGCGCCAACTGCCAGACCAACTCGACGACCCTGTGGCGGCGCAACAACGAGGGCAATCCCGTGTGCAACGCCTGCGGACTGTACTACAAGCTGCACAACATGAACCGCCCACTGTCGATGAAGAAGGAGGGCATCCAGAAGCGCAAGCGGAAGCCGAAGAACAACGGAGGAGCTCCCATGCACCGGACAGCGCTGCCAAGTAAGTAGTCCCATCGGAACTCAAAGGGGGTGGAGTATAGGGTTACTAGATGAAATACAATTAAATTACGGTTACATGATATTACTATTTAATTATATAATGAAAGATGAAATGATTTAAAAAAAGATATTACATAATAGTATCTCAGATATGCGGGGATCACCTGCAGATTTTAGGATTTTAATAGTACGGGAATAAAATATATGATATACATTTAATTATTTAAGTATTCAAGGTGTTAGTTTAACATTGCATCTGAATAGCTTTGTATAATCAATTTAACAAATGAAATATTTGTTTTAGAACTCAATTTTAGTCCAGAACAAGATTCAAACTAAAGTTCAGAGCAGTATAATAAATTTCAGGAAATATAAAGATATTTGTTTTTTGATAACTTGTAACTTTGAAGATTTTAAAAAATATGTTTTAATTTCAAGTCCTTTTTATATTAATTTTTATAAAACAAAAAAAGGTTTTGGGATCTGTTTCGTCAAAGGCTATTATTAGTTTTAAGTCCAAATGTGCATAGAAAACTAAGACTAATCCCAACTCTTGGCTTGTTCCTATTTCCCACCCCAGGCATGTCCCAAGGAGTCAACCTGATGGCGAACAGTCCCCTGTATCCATCCCAAGTCCCAGTGAGCATGCTGAATAGTCAGCAGAACGCCAGTCCGGAGCTGCATGATATGTCGACGACGGGTCCAGCGGGTGGCGGTGGCCAGCGGGTGGTGGCCATTTCGCTGAATTCGACAGCACCACCGCCCACCACCGACGGAACGCTGAACATGTCCGCTCGCCACCACGTGACCGGTGAGAGCCACTCGCCCTACAGCCAGCAGTCGACGCCCCAAAGTCAGTCGCCGCATCTGCCCAGCACGGTGGCGATAAACCGCCAGATAGTCCAACCGTAAGTTAAATAGACTAACTCCTAGTTAAAATAATAATCATATATTATATCCCACAGAGTTCCCACCATCGAAAGCGGTCGCAGTTCCAATAGCGAACTCACCCCCAGCGTAATCACACGCACTGGACTGCCAGAGCGATCATCGAATAACTAAGCTAGCACCTTGACCTTTAACTTCGAACTTTAAACTTAAACTAACTTTAAACTAAAAACCCTTTAAACCAAAATGTCAAAGTTGCCAAATTATTTATTTAAGCCTTAGGATAGTAGATATAGTATTGTATAGAATGTCCCAGTTAGAGGAAGACTTGCAAAGTTTCCGGGTTTTTCAACTGGAACAATGTCTTCCTCCCTTTTTAGTCAACTGCTTACAGCAAATATCAAAGTTTGAAAACGTTGATTTGTGCCAACCACTTAGGATCACTTACGTATCCCCGAGTATATAGTATAGTGCTTTAGCACAAGCCCATAATGAAGCCTACGATTTTGTATGTTTAAGCCCCTTTTTTTAATTCTACAAAATAAATAAGTTGTAAACGCAAGGCACTCGGGACTTTGATGGCTCTACCTCGGTGGAGCTTGGAGCTGGGATCTTCGAGCTCGTTATATTTCATTGTCAACAATTTGGCAGCCAACCAAATTGATCCAAATTAATTTTAATGACCCCCACGGACCACAGACAGCGCGAGACCATAAAATCTTAACAAGTTGGAAGGCAAGAGGATTGGAATCGGGATCGGAGACCCCTGGAGCAGTGTCTAAATAGCGATTTGGTGTCATCGCTTAAAAGCCTGTCCGACGCACAGTAACGCCACCGCCTGCAGCCGCTGCCTTTGATCTGCTGTCGGGTATTCGGATTATGGTATGGTATTGGTTTCGGTTTGGGTTTCGGTTGGTATGGTATACCATACGGAATGGCATGGCAAAAATGCCCCAAAGCCCGAAGATGGAGTCCAGTCGAGCCTGGTCGAAGGCCGAAGGAGGTATAATATTAACGCCTTGCCTTTGTGTATCTCCTTTTGTTTTTGCTTTTGTTTTTGGCGTACGCTCGATCAATTAGGCAAACTTGTTTTACGACCGCTTTTATTAGCGTCCGCTCAGGCCGGCGCTCCAAGTTTACCCAGAGTCCCAGGGTTCCAAGAGTCCCCGAGTTGAAGCTGCGGCTCAAAGTTGTTGCTTGTGGCTGTGACTGTGGTTTCCAGACCCGGGTGCGAATGAGTAATGAGACGGCGGCCCCAGCACCCGGCAGCTATGGAATGTGTTGGCAAAAATTATGTGCAGCGTCAAGTTGTGCAAGTGGAATGGAATGGCTTCGAATAAAATGGTCTCGGCTGGTGGATAACTGTTTGGGGGATAGCTATTTTGGAAAAAATATAAGATGTAGAATCGATACACATTTAAACCGACTGGTGACCCCGAAATACTAAATGTTCTTTTATAAAATTTGGAATTTATCCCGAAATCTTAGGAAGTTTGCAAATCTTTAATATTAACTCGTTAAAACTTTTTAATTGTCCAAATTATTGCATAGTAAATGAAAAACTTCCGACTGGTGACCCCGAAAAATCAATTTGTTCGTTTTAAAATATGTAATGAATTTCCAAATCGTTTAGATAATTATGGGAATCCATATATACACTTAATAACTTTCCAAATCATATTATTGTTCAGAAAAAGCTTGAGAATGGTGACCCCAAAATGTACAATTTTTGATTTGAATTTTTCAGTTTACTTCGTTAACATTTTTCCGCCCTTCCCATAGTCGTAGCTGCTACTACATACGCTCTTTAATTAGCCTCGTCAGACGCATAAACTATATCGGAATCGCAATTGTATTTATGCTTTAATAACTCTGCAATCCATAATAAGCGTACCACTAATTGCTGCCGCACCTGTGGCCAGCAGCAGCACATCCTCTGCATCAGCGAATTAAAACATTAGCGACCAACCTGTTCCATTTCCCATTTCCATGGACGTGGCGGGGGGTTCCGAAGGGGTAACGAGACCGTAAAATAATAATTCAATGTGACAGGCAACAAGATACGACAGCGGGCGCCATTTTTCAGATGCCACTTCTCCACCTGCACTCCCCCTTTCCGTTCCTTTCCTTCCCACCGATCTCCTGGCACACTTTTGTACAAACGTACTATACGAGTTGCAACGCTCTGACATTATCGCTGGAATTATGACAGACGTACAACGGCGCAAGAAATGAGGGACTCGGAATACGATCCGCTAATCTCCGGAGCCTTGCATGCATTTGAATTTCTATTAAGTTAATTGCAATTGGCCCAGGCGAACGCGCATTTGTTCATGTCCAATAACAGTTAAGTAACGATTGTTTGTTACACGGGAAGAAAAATAAATGGGAAATAATATGAGATGAGATTAAATGATAAAGCTTATACTGAAATTATAAGAATTATTCAGTACCAAAACTAATTATTAAAATTAAGTACTGTATTTCACATTTTTACATAATTTATATATTTAAATGATATATTTAATAGTATTTACCAGCTTTTCCCCCAGTGCACTTATGATGCGGTTAGAATACAAGGCTGGGTCATCTAGTGGGGGCATAAAAGCCAACATAAAGTCGAAACTGTCAACTCTCCCACTCCCTGAGTGCATTTAATTAGCCAGCGCTGACCACCTAGCACGGCGGCCTCTTGAACCCGCCTCGAATTGGAATTGGAACTGGATCTCGAGCTCCGAACCCGAACCCGAACTGGAACCCAAAGTCAAGACCCGAAAACACGAAAACCCTAAACCGGGTCCGAGGCGCCACTTAGCCAACTTCAAAGTGCGGCCGCAACTTCTCCGGGCCGCAAGCTACCATCATCGTCAGCGTCATCTTCTTGGCTGGCATTACAAATCGACAAACGACACGAAAATGCGCTTTAACAACTCGCAGTTAAAATAGATAAAAGCCGATAGTCGAACGCCGCCAGCCAACTGCAAGTCCCCGTATTTATAGTATAGGGGGCTTTTCGGGAAGGGAGCCCTAAGATCGGTAACGAAGGCGAGTATCATTTGTTTTGGCCCAAAGCTTGGCTGGGGAGATCTAAAACAGGCAGATTATTCTTAAAAAATGGTTTCTATTAGTTACCTATATATTTAAGCTTTCTAAACATATTGAACAGATTAATTGGATCGGCAGCTCAAGCTGATGGGATATCTCAAAGGAGATCTCTACTAGTCATTTATATCAGAATTCTGTTTACCTAACTATTTATTTCTTAGCCAGTTTCCTAAACTGATAGTTATAAACTATTTAATATTTTTTTTATTTTTGTATAAATTTTATATTTTACAGTACTTTTTTATTTAATAGTTATTTTCTACACCTTTTTATTTTTATAATACCCCGCAATTTGATTTTATTTATCCTATAGTTCACCATTCCCACATAAGATCATAACAAAAGACACACCCAAAGATGCAGTGACGTCACAAGAGCAGCAGCAGCATCGTCTCAACCGCTTCGTTTTGAAGTTCTAGGAAAAAATAACGAAATTCCAAGAATTCACACGAAAGACAAAATGCGATTGCTTTGGAAGAGCCGCAGAGGCAGAGAAGAGAATGGATATGGATATGGATATGGGGGATATGGGTTAAGTTAAGGTATTCCCTTGTCTCGGGGCCCTTATCACAACTCACGCGCGTCTCGTTCCATTTCGGTTTTCAGTTTTCAGTGTTCAGTTTTTAGGTTTCGGCTCGGACTCGGACCCGAAATCACATTATCTTTGCTCTCCGTTGCGAGATGGCGACGCAGCTAATGGATACGCCGTATCCACAACCATATATATAAGGTATATCACAGATGACGATGGTGATGATGATGATGGGTCCTTCTGTCTCCCTCTAGCCGCACTGCCCGTCTCTTTCGGCAGACGCCGCCTGGAGGAAGATTGAAGATGCGGCGCTTATCGAGGAGGGAAAAAAAAGCAGGGAAGCAAAAGATGAAGCCCAAAAAGAGTTCGGGTTCAGGATAGTATAGTGCAGTCCCATCTCCTCCGCATATTTCTGTGTCGTTGCTTATCGCCCGAGCTGCAGAGCTGCAGACTTTGCCTTCGGCTTCTCCTCATCCTTGGCAATACCATTCCATCGCATTTGCATCGCATCACGGAATGAATGCAACCTGGGCAAAATAATCGTTGCGAAAGGAAAGGGTTCCCGAGAGCTCGAGAACTCGAGAATCGTGGCGCCAAAGGAAGCGTTGAAAATGGTACTTGATCTTGATCGCGATGACTCTTGCCGACTGTAATTTAGACGGCGCCTCGGTCCCTGTGTTCACACTAATGCACTTGCAGCTTTTAAATGTCACCAGGGGCACTCCTCCATCCTCCATCCGCCTCCTCCTCCAGTCTGATCAAGATCACAAGCTGACCAGCTAGACCACTTTGTGATATTGTAATCCCCTGGCTTCTTAAGGCCCGTTTTTCACTGCACCGAACAAGCCAATTGCTCGTGTGTATTCAATTGGAATAATTAGTGGTATCTCTTTGGATTTGTTTATGCTGGAAGGAGATTTACATTTGAGCGATTGTTGTGTAGTAATGATAAAGTGCTTTTGAGAGAGCTAAAATCTAAATGTGCTTTATTAATGTTATTAAGGAGAGAATTTTTAAAACATTAGAGACTATTTTTGACTTTAAGGCTACTGTTTTTAATTAATTAGCCAAATAAAAAAATACCATATGGTTAAATTAAGTTCTCAATTTGTAGCTATTAGCAAATTTAATTTTATTAATATCACTATGCAGCATCAAAAATTAACGATGAATGCATATTTTTGGATTCGTTAGAATTCCCAAGTTAAACTCGTTTTCCAAGGTTCCCGACGCAAGGATTCTTAGAAGACCTAAATCGAAAAATCTGAAATTGACCAACTTCGGAGCTCTCAGAGGCAAAGGATCATGGCGGTTCGAAGTTAAAGTTTTTAAAAGATACACCCTTTATCTTTCAAACCCCATACATAAAATAATTTAGGACTTTTTTAAGGCAGAAATAAATTACAAAAACATAGTCAAAAAACTAAAAAACAAACACTGCGGTCAAAATAGTAGCAGTGTTGCCGCCTGTTTTTTAAAAGTTTGATGTTGTAATTTTTTTATCCAATAAGTCTAATAGTAAAATTATAATCAATACAATATTACCAGGAAAAGATCAATTACAACAACAAACTTTTAAATACACAGG